GGACAGAGTCTCACTTCATCACCAGGCTGGAGTGCAGTGGTGCCATCTTGGCTCACTGCAACCTCTGATTCCCTGGTTCAAGTGATTCTCTTGCCTCAACTTCCCAAGTAGCTGGGATTACAGGCACATGCCACTATATCCAGCTAATTTTTGTATTTTTAGTAGAGACGGGTTTTCACTATGTTGGTCAGGATGGCCTCTATCTCCTGACCTTGTGATCCACCTACCTCAGCCTTCCAAAGTGCGGGGATTACAGACATGAGCCACTGCGCCCAGCCAGATTTTTTTTTTTAATAGATGTCCTTTATAGGTAAAGAAATTTTCTTTTATTCTTAGTTTATTAAGATTGTTTATCATAAATGACTATTGAATTTTGTCAAATGCATTTGTCTTATCAATTCAACTGATTGTATTTTTCTTTCTTAATTCTATTAATGTTAAATTACATTTATTTTTTCTTTGAATGCTAAATTATTTTTAGATTCCTAGGATAATATCCACTTCTCATAACGTATTTCCTTTTTATATATTAATGAATTTGATTTACTAATATTTTCTTAATGATTGTTTTATCTGTGTTTATAGGGGATATTGGTCTGTGGTTTTATTTTCTTGTAATGTCACTGTCAGCATTTGCTATCCATTGATTTTCAGCATTTGGTTGCTATGTATCTACGTATAGTTTTCTTTGTGGTTGGTTTTTTTATGTTTAGAGTTCACTTAAACTGCTTTGACTTATGGATTGATAGTTGTTGTCAAATGAGAAAAATACTTGGTCTTTTTGCTTCAAGTATGTTTGCTATCTTTTATGTTCCCTTTGGGAGTCTAGTTACTCCACATGAGACAACTTGATGTTGTCCAGCAGGCTCACGGGGTTCAGATTCTTTTTTACTGTAGTTGTTTTTGTTTTGTTTTTTCTCTCTGCATGCATCAGGTTAGGTAATTTCCATTAATCTTTTCTTATATTGTGTTTTGTTTGCTTTTAAGCCCAAATGTGAATTTCTTAGTATAGATACTGTATTTTTCAGCTATAGATGATCCATTTTTTTAAGTTTCTTTTTTTCATTGTATACATGTTTTCTTTTGAATTTTTGGACTTATTTACAGTAACATTTAAGAAGTATTTGTCTACCAATTCTATTAATCATTTAGGGGTTTGTTTTTATTGAACCCACCCCTCCACCCCAATTTTGAGGTCACATTTTCTTATTTTTTCTCCTAATTTGTAATTTTTGATTTGTCATCCTTTAAAGAATATTATGTTTTGGTCTGGTAGGCAATTTAGTGACTTGCAGATCCACCTGATCCCTTTAGACTAACTGTAAGTTTTATTAGTGTTTCCAGTACAACTTTCTACACTGATGGACTGGTTTTACCCTCCTCCTAAGGTATAGCATTTCTGGAATCTCTATGGAATGTCCCAGGTATTCTGTAGGTCTCTTCTCTGTGGTTGAGATTCTGAACTCTCCTAGTGTTGTTCCCCTGGTAGTTATTATTTTTCTGGCCTCATGGAGTCTCATCCTATACACACCCAGCTTAGTATTCAGCCAAAGATTCAAGGGGACCCACCCGCAGACTACTGGAGTTCATTGTCCTCACTGCTTCCTCTTCTCTGGCATTCAGCCCTTCAAATTCTAGGTACCTCAGCCTCCCTGAGCTGCAGTCTCTGTCTCCTTAGCTTTGTGAGACAGCTGTGCTCTGCAAGATTGCCCTGTTTCAGTTTCAGGTTTGGCAAATGCCTTTGGGAAGGAGTCTGGGCAATGTTCGGGCTTACCTTGGTTTTTATCCTTCTCTCAGGAATCAAAGTCCTGCAGTACTTGCTAACATCTGAAAACAATTTTTCGCATATTTCATTTTGAAAGCTTAACTTTTTAGTTGTTTATATAATAGGAGAGCTAGTCCTGTACCAGTTACCTTATAATTGATTGAACCTTGTTTATGTTTTTAATTGGCCAAGATTTAGCTCACCTCTGATAATTTGTACATACTGCTTTTTCTGCCTGAGGCTCTTTTCCCCACTGCCTGTACCTGACAAGCTCTTATTCATTATTTTTAATGTTGAGATTACATCGTCACATTTTTCCTCATAGTCTTCCTTGATGTTACCAAATCCTGGGTTAATCGTCATACTTGATACTCATAGCACTCTGCATTTACATGTAATTGTAATTACTTGTTATTCTGATTGTGTGTAGCCCCCATAAAAACCTAAGCTGTGTGAGGACAAGAACTGTGTCTTATTCACATTATTTCCCTTGTGCTTAACACAGTGAAGATTTCAATCTGTGTGTGTGTGTCTCTCCCTTTTGCAATGTTGTATGTGGAGATGAAATTGTACAATTCAAAATGCCCCGAGTACACTAAAGAAAATTTTCAGACTTTCGCTCTGGTTTGGAGAGGGAGGCAATTATAGACAGTTGCCATCCTTATTCAGAACTCTTACTTGTTTTTGTTTTGTTTTTTGAGATGGAGTCTCGCTCTGTCTCCAGGCAGGACTGCAGTGGTATGATTTCAGCTCACCACAACTTCTGCCTCCCAGGTTCAAGTGATTCTTTGGCCTCAGCCTCCCAAGTAGCTGGGACTACAGGTGCGCACCACCATACCCAGCTAATTTTTGTATTTTTAGTAGAGACGGGGTTTCACCTTGTTAGCCAGGCTGGTCTCGAGCTCTCGACCTCGTGATCTGTCCACCTTGGCCTCTCAAAGTGCTGAATTGTGGGTGTGAGCCACTGTGCCTGGCCCTAGAAGTCTTCTTTTTAAATTTGTCCTATTTCTGCCAAGATTGGTATTTTTTCCTTTAATGTCTATGTTATAACTATTTATATATTTATATTTGCCTACAAGTATTGGTCTGTTTATAATGTTACTTATAGATGAAGTTTTTTCTCTTCACCTACAAATCAGTCTCATTAAAAAAAGTATCTTTCACGATAAACACTGTAACCACTTAGTTGCCATAGTAGTTTTGAGGAAGTTAATGTGGCTTAATCTCATGTGGGGTGTGGTGGTGGGTGCACTGTCCCATTGAGGAGCTTTTGATAACAGTAGTTTTCTTAGAAATACTTATTTCATTATTAAATTGAAGAAGATACATTTATGTTGTACTGATCTTATTTATCTTTTGTGTATGGAAAAAGAATATTTCCATTTTTCATTTCACAAGAGTTGTAAGTGAGAGCATTTTAAGATTACTAGTACAGGCTGGGCACTGTGGCTCACGCCTGTAATCCCAGTACTTTGGGAGGCTGAGACTGGCTGATCACAAGGTCAGGAGTTCGAGACCAGCCTGACCAACATGGTGAAACCCTGTCTCTACTAAAAATACAAAAAAAAAAA